AGTTCCTCAGGGGTATCTGCCTCCACTTAATAACATTCAGTGTGTAATCTACTACCAGTAATGTGAGAAAAACCTGGTGGGAAATTTTATCTTGCCACCAGAAGTGCACTTGTGCTCTGTGTATACACATTCCCTATTTAAGCCTTCATTTAACCAGCAAGGCAAAAGTGCTTCTTGATTCCCACATAAAGTGCCCCAGGGAATTGTCACTGGAAGAGTACCACTTAAGATCTGTCAGAGAGAGACATTTTATTACCTGAAGGATGCTATCTTAACCTAAGGTCTAAAATATAAATGAAATGCAATTCAGGTGACTTGAGATCCAGCAGAAAGACAGAAGGGTGAAAAGCTTCCCAGGGATTCCACAGGGAGAAGGCTGATTTATTTAATACAGATAAATATGACAAAAAGATATTAATATCCCAAGTTTTAATAAGTTTATGCTTGACAGGAAGAACAGAACTGAAGCAGCAGCTTCAGTTTTTCTTGAGCAGCAGCTAATACAAGATGTTAACTAATAGAGTTGGAGAGGAAAAAAGAAGCTTTAAGCAGATGAATTCAAGCAAAAGGCAGGAAATTTTGGACACTGAAAATTTCTCTGTTTCTTATGGGCTGAAGGAGATTATGTCCTTTTTGCAATGACTTATCATCAGTACAGTAGGGTAAAGTCCAAGGGAGCTTAATAGACCACCTAGTATTTAAGTAGAGCAGAGAATGTTTAGAAATGAAAGGTCAAAACTGCCTCTGAAAAGATGAGTGAGAAAATAAACAGAGGATAAATCAAGAGACTACTTTAGAATCTGCCATCATGAAAACCCAGACTTTTCTCAAGTGTCAGAGAATATTCTGTTCTATATTGAAACAGGGATTTGAGGTTTGCTTTAGCAACACATTGTAAAGCCATTTGATGATGCCTCTGGAGTGTTGTTTTGAAAGTTACTATTGTTTCTCTGAGCAAAGTAATACTCTCTGTGTTTTTTAATGTTACCCATTTTTTCCCATGTTGAAAGCTTCAGAAAACTTTGGTTTCATTAGGAAAGAATTTTGGTTAAGTTGCTGATAAAACTAAGTAGATAGATAGTTGTAGATAAAACTAAGTGGAAGAAAAGGAGGTAACTGGGACACAAGCTGTGGCTTAACCTTGCAATGAACTGGATTTGCATATGGCTTTGGGAAAAGTTTCACAAGAAGTTTTTATAGCCAAGAGACACTTGGGAGTAGGACATTTTCCAGTTGCTTATTTTTCTGTGCTCAAGAAAGACACTAGCTTGTTGAAGCTTATAAATAAATACAAACTTCATCAACAACTTATTCTAATTGCAAGATTACAAATACTGAGTGGATTCTTAGTATGTATTCAAACAATTACTTTTAAACTGCAACAGAATATCAGAATCCTTTAATATGCAAAACTATATTGGAAATCTGCTTTCAAAATGTTCTAAAAACAAGATCACATCTTTCTTCCATCTTGTCAGCCCAGCATTACTTCCATCAATCCCTTGTGTAAATACATCAATTTCTACAAATTTTGCCTGAATCTCATAATGACAAAACCAGAATTTAGTCCAAAACTAAACAGACCAGTAAAGATAAATCTCTTGACTGTTTTCTGAGATTCTTTCCTATTATTAATCCCTATGCTGGGGCATACACAATTGTAAATATATTAATCAAAGTTTACTTTGCAGAGGAAAAGTCAATAGGATGTTTAACTCTTGATTTATACACAAGCTTTAAGTATTTCACCTGTGTAATTCTGCACAGTCAGTAGCTTATTTCTTCTAATTAAATCTTTATTTCAGCTCTCAGTGGGCTTGATTTTCCTCTTACTAACAGCAAGTTTATTAATATAACTCTCATCAATCAAATGGTGGTAGCATTTTAATGAGATTAATGTAAGAAAAAAGCAAAATCAAAGTTATTGACTTTGCACAAGAGTGTTGCCAGTCTGTTCACAGCTAAGCAGTGCTTATGGATGCTTAACAGAATGCTGGGCAAGGCAGGCATTTTTTACTGTTTAGAAACCTGTTTTAAAAGTACAATTCGCAAGATGATGAAAAAAAGAAAATAATTTGCTCAGGAAGAAAATCAGGCAGTAAGTCTAACTACAAGGGCTAATCATCTTTGTCCTGCTCATATGAAATATAAACTGAAAGTTCATGTGCATATTAATGTAAAATACTCTGCTGCACTCAGCATTTTGTTATGCACATTAGAGCATACACCTCACTAACACAGCAAAACATTTATTACTGTTTTTTTACCATCTCTATATTGCCTCTGCCATTTACCTCTCTGAAGTCCAGGACAGGTCATGGACTGGTCATTTTGTGACTGTTAAACAACCTACAGCCAGGTAAATTAAAACATGAAATTCTGGATTGCCAGGTCAACACAAAAGTCAGTTGTTTTCTAGCTGTAACACAAAAATGTACGTACTATATGCTACAATATATACAACCATCCCTAATTGTTTTCAGCCCATGTAAAATAAATATGAATTGTTAATAATATGGATAGATTTAATTATCAGTTGTGTAGAGTTAAGGTTGTGGCTTGAAAGCGACTGAAGGCATGAAAGGAGCAGCAAGGTAAACAGTATCTAACCTAACCAAAGAAGAAAATAAAACGTATTTTGCCAAAACAAGAAGTGGTTTATAGAAAATTTTCTAGAAACTTCTGATGCAAATATAAACTGGGTTTAAAAAAAAAAAAAACAAACAAAAAAACTAGTAACAATAGAATGAGAGATGTAACTAAAGCATGACAGTAGCAATGTCTCATACTAAAGACAATTTTGAACCCCAAACATTGAGTGAAGAAGCTTCACATACACAAGACCATTTTAGTAATATACCAACATTATTTTTCTTTTACATCTTCCAAGAATAAAGTAGTGGGATGACTTATCCTGCCAATAAAGATGAATAAAATTGATCAAGAGACAGAGAATTTAATGAAGAATTGAATGCAGTGAAATCTCCAGCAGGTAGGACATGCAGTTAAATAAATGAAGGAACAATTAAGTGCCTTTTTGAAGACCAAAGGATGACACCAAATGAGACTCTAGCTGGGATCTGATAACACCATAGAAAACTGATTCCTGACAAAAACTGAACAGGCAGCAGGGAAGAGAGGGAGACAAAGAAAACTGCTAAGAACAGACTGCCTGATGGCAGCTCTCCATTTCTCTGATTTTAAATGCAAAGCAATGTCTGCTTCATGGTTCTAATGAATCAACTGTTATCTAAATGTTTTCCCACAGCATGCTATGTAACCTCTCATGATCACTGTATTTACACAGAAGTTAAAGGTTTTGCACTCCTGCTTTTTATTTGACCATTTTAGAGCATTGTATCTCCTCATTCACTGCACTTCTATGTATAATTATTTAATTTTTACTTTTGCAAAATGTCATCAAAATATAGAAAGCTGTAGCTGCCTTTCTCTCTTTAAACAAAATGCTTACATGAATTAAGTATGAAAATTCTGTCAAGTCAACAAGAAAACCATTTTTTCCTACTCTCTGATCCCTACTAGTCATCAAGAAGCACTTCATAAAGCAGTAGTTAGGTAAGGAGGTCAGCAGTGCCCAGCTACTGGTGAGAGAATTGGGAATTCAACTGTATTTGAAAAATTGGGAGGCTAGACTCTCCTGTTTATCTGAAATCTGTACCTGCTAAGTTAGAGTGCCTTGAGTCAGTACATACAACTTTAAGGCATTCAAGGGAAATTGTGACAAATAAAACCAGAGAAACCAGAACTCTGTTCCATATAAGCACCTTAACTGCAGAGCTGCGAAGGAACAAGACTCTGCCACCTGCACATCAGCTTTCAGCTCTCATGCTACCAGTCAGTACAGCTACTGTTTCTATAACCAGCATTGCACTGTGGCCCAGAATGAAGTACTGATGTCCCCAGGTTAACTCCAAAACTGACATTAAAGCTCCTAATGTAAGCAAGTTTGTAAATTATGAGAAGCATATAGAAGAAAGACTAAGAGACATTATCTTGCTCCTAGAAAAATGTGCTATTGCAGATGGCAGGCAGAAATGCAGCAGATATGAAACCCAAAACAGATTTGCATCGAGGCTGTGGTTTTAGTTAGTCTAATATGCTGCATTCCTCCCAGGAGAGTCTACTAATACCCTATAGAATTATTCATACCCTCTACATGCAGAAGTCTGCTCACTTGACTATGTGAAATTCTCCTTTTTCAGCTGTTAAAAAAAGACAATGAAAAAACTGTGAACTTTTATCAATAGGACCACAATGGTCAGAAATCTTTGTGCCAAAGGCAGACTGTTTTGACTTCTAGAAAACCCAGTAGGTTTATATCATGACATCTGTTAATTCCCCGCAGAAGAAGGGAAAAATAAGTTTGCTGATATTTACTGTACAACAACAGCATCCTTTCTGCAGCCTTACCTGGCAGATGTCATATTTTCCTTTTCTATGTTCACACACACAATTAATTTCACAGGCACTGAAATGCCTGTTGCAACAAAATAACAATCAAGCACTGAAATAAATCTAAGTTTTTAGAGGATAGCTATGCAGATATAAAAAATCCATACAAATAATTATGGTATGAATTGATTTCTTTTTTTTATGAGATTCCCTACTTATTGGAAAATATTAGGAACAGTCCAATTATTAGACTACACCTAGAAAGGGAGTACACACCCATTTTGAAGCCAAATATTTTCACAGAGAAAACTGCAAGACAGAAGGAAGGAAGAAAAAAGAAGAAATGCTGCCTTACAGATAAGGGGTGATTTCTTGACAGAATAAAATCATTCATATATGTTTTAAATCTAACAACTATTTAAACATTATTGTACCTCTTACTCAATGAAACAGTAAAGGATTTAATATAGTTGCAATATACATTTTAAATTTCATAAAAAAATTGTTCCAGTCTTTAGGTACATCATTATTTAAAACAACACAAACCAAAATTATATCAAATTTAAAAAAACCCACAACACACTTACCTGATGAGATGTCTATCCGGTTCTTCTTCACTTGGGAGACGTTGATATGGACACTGACTTTGCCTTCATTTATATCAATCTCAACATTCCCAAGGTCATCTGCAAAGTGGCTGAAGAGAAGAAGTCCATTTGGGTTCCAGGTCCGGAAAAGGAAACTGACTGAAAACAGATCTTGGCTTGGACGACCAGGAACCTCAAGGTAACTGGTGGCATTGAAAAAGACAGGCACTGTGTGTGGCTCCACACAAGAAAAACTTAAATTTCCCTGAGTAAAACACAAAAAAACAAAAGAAAAAAAAAAGAAAAATGAAAAAAAGAAAAAACAAAATGGTAAGATTCCACTAAATTCATAGCTACCTCTAAAAAGTATTCTGGATTTCACTCAACCTAGACTACTGTGATCAATGCACACTGCATCTAAAGATGTGCTGTTAATGTTATCTTTATTGTTACTACTATAATAGTTACTGATTTTTCTGTTTTTGTCTAGCAGTGGCCCCACTATATTTTGTACTGTACATACACAAAATTACAGGCAGTTGGCCCTGAAGAGTTGTAGTCTCTCAAGCTTTGATGAAAACATTATTATTTCTAGTTAAAAGATAAAGAAATTAATCACAGATAAACTTGGGCTTGTCTGTGGTCCCCATAGAAACCTATAACAGAACAGCATAAAAAAGAGTGCAGATTTCCAAATACCCTGATATCAATGTGCCAATCAATACAGTACATGATATTCCAAAATAATGATGTATAATACCTGAACAGTCAGCCTCTCTGTTATGCTTTCAACCACATGATACTGCATATGCTAATATTTCAATTCATGAAGCAGAAGAATTTGGAGTGGCTGACATGAACAACACCAATATTTTTGGATAGTAAATAATTTTGTCTGTAAAGGAAGCTGCAGTTTCTACTCTGTAAAATATTATTATTCAGGAAATTGAAAAAAGATCCAGTCAACTGTTGATCTACAAGGCTTTAAAATGTATCTGTAAACAAGACCAGAATTAGGGACACAAATTTTTCTCTCTGGTTCTCATGTAATTTCTCACAACAAAAGACCAAATTGGTGGGATATTACTATTTGGTAATATTTGTAGGGTATTAGCGTTTTTTTTTGTTTTCTTAAAAATTGTACTTTGTAGTAATCTATGTCCAGAATTAATTTATTACTGCATGAGTGCAAATATAACAGGAAAACTTCCTCTGCTGAAGAATTCCTATAATATGTGGCAAAGTGGATCCTGCCCTATGGTTAGGCTTTCTCATGCATTGTTACAGGTGGAAATTATGTGGCAATTTTTGTTCTGTTTGGGAAGAAAGACTTTTATCTGATCCAGTACAGAAATTACTACTAAAATCAAGAGAGCAATTCCTCTGATATTTATTTGTACACTAAAAAAAAAAAAAAAAAAAAAAAAAAAAAAAAAAAGAAGACTTGAACAACATTTTTAGAGGTACACAGATGTTTAGAGATGTGGTCTACCTAAGCAGTGTTCAGAATCCCAGTAGAAGTCAGTCATCATCTTTTTTGCATCATTAATTTTAAATTCCATATTACTGACTTCCTGATTTAGACTTTTATGTCACATTTCTATATTCATAGTGTATAAATGCATCTGACATTTCATCTTGAGGGAAAGTAGAGAATTTGGAAGCAAGACAGGAACTTTGTGTCTGAAATGTGTGTCAGGACAGATCTAAATAAATTTTTTAAAGAAATAATTATATTCAATTGGAGATGACGGATGGCATCAATAAGCAAGTTCTAGCACTCATTTTCCAATGTCCAAACCCATCACTTTTTAAAAGGACATCACATCAGAGAACAGCTTATGTGTATAATAGCAAGATACAACTGGTCTGGCAGATTCAGCTTCCTATATTGGATTTCCATGTCAAAAACCCAAATGAATAAAAATAATATTTTCTTGACCACTAGGATAAATCCTTTGATTATTTTGCATAACAACCTCTTTTTCCTGCAGAACAGCAGAAATTGTACAGAGTCTACCTCTAAATGCCAGTAGAATTAGTAGGAACTATACTATCATGTAGGCAGCCTCCATGATCAATTAAGGAACATTGATATTTCCATAATCTGGAAATAGAGATATCTTTAAAGTGATCTCCTAGATTTGTTCCTAAATTTTATGATAAAATGTCAGCATTACAAGTCACATTCTTTTACTGTGCCCAAATTCCACGGATTAAAAAAAAGAAATCCAAGGAATTAGGAAAAACCACCTGACACAACTAAAGAAAACTTTTAGATAACTATGTGATAGAAGAAATTACAGCTACTTTATGATTAAAGAGTAAACATTTCCCTGCTAAACTGCTTGTCAATTCTGGGATGTATTTTTGTGGTTTTGCTTTGCTTTTTGTTTTGTATTGGTTTTTTTTTGGGGGTGGTGAGGTTTGAAAGTTGCCTAGAGATTTTTAATTTTACACTTTTAACCAACGAGGCATGAAATCAAAATAGTTAACTCATTTGCTTGAGTAGTTTTAATCTAAACGTTTCTATGTTTGTTAAGCACAGAATATTTGTGCTTAAGCCACAAATTTTACATACAGTAGAAAAAGGTGCAGAGAATCTGAAATGCTCTCTGCAAGCCTTGGCTGTCATTCTCAGTGTAATTGTCACCCTGCGCACAGACACAACTTCTCTTACATGGTTAAGGCAGTCCTGTGTAGACACAGAAGGCTACATCATTTTTTGAGAGACGTCATGTCACGGTTCAGTCACAGATTTGAATTAAGAAGTGCTCAGAGAGCATTCTGTTAGGCTTTTTAAGAGTTTCTTTTGCTGCCTTGTTACCAAGAGGAACTAACAATTTTCTCATTACAAGAAGGCTTTTATATCCGATTGACACTCTCCTGTCATCCTGATGTTTTGGATACTTGCATGCATAACACCTATTAATGTTAATGGCACGGAATGAATTCAAATCCTTTTTCACATCAGTTAATGCATTTCCCATGAAAAGCCTAGCTGCATTAAAATTTTCTTGAGAAAGTAACGTATAATTCTAATTTCTGTGCTCGTTAACATTTTCTGTACTGAGCTATTGAGATTCATATGAACTGGATTATTGATCCCTTCTATAACTGTAGTTCACAAGATGACCCCTCTTTTAAGTACAACCCATCTTATATAGACTGCTCACTAGTTCTAGGTCAAGGTTTTGAGTTAATTTGCAGCTTGTCTCTGCAGTAGCCTCTTCATTTTTCAAAGAGAATGAGATAATTTTCTGTAGATTCAGAGTGACTTGCTGAATAGTTTTCTGGGGAATGACATCTGGAAGTCAATTCTATACTGTGCATTTATATTGAAATTCTTGGTCTTATTAGAGACGTTTTCATACTACATTGGCAGGGAAAATGTAAAAACAACTTAATTTGTGTAGCTTGAGCTGTGCACTGTGATCTTTCATCTATATGGCAAATTAGATTCATGTTTACTTATAAATCAATTTTGCCTGTCCACATTCAAACATAATCCCTTGTGTAAAATACTACTCTAAACACCTTTCCCAATTAAAAGACCTACTGGCTGAATAGGAAGCTCCCAAAAGACAGCTAATAAGTTTGTTAAGACTATACTACCTGTTAAATCAGAATGGATCATATAGTATGGGCAATGCATTACACACTAATGCCATCTTAAATAACACAAAAGAATCAAAATATTTTTTTCCCTTTACCTTCTGAATCTAAATAAAATATGTTACTAAAGTCAGCATTGGACTTTATTTAAATTTAAAATGCTTTTAATTTGTCTTTTTATCCTTACTCTTCAAAAAAGCAAAAGGTGCTTGATGGTGCTGTTTTTGTTCATAACATGTATGTATATGAGACACAATTTTTAAAAAAAAATGAATTTTGTTCAGAGAAAAACAAAGATCATCATCTTCTTATCATCTCTGATTTTCTGGGCCTTCTCATTTTTTATAATCAATTTGTCAAGTCCCTTTCAATGTGTGATTTCTGAAATTCAACTGTCTTCATCAAGGAATATTATTTTCTTTTGTTTCACACCCCTTTAAAATCCTTATTTTCTCTGAATTTATCCTTTCTTTGTATTACTTCTCACGACCAGAGTGATTACTTTGCTTGTATCAGCCACATTATATTGTGTGTGTTGTGTCTTTCAAGGGGAAGGCGTGTCTCCTGTTATGTGTTTGTACAGAATCTCCTACAATGGAGCTTTGATCCCTGTTGGGTTTCTTGAGAGCCGTCATCATAAACACACTTAACAATGACAATATGTTCAAGAAAGTCTATTTCTCTTGCTAAATCAGGTTAAAAACTAGAAGAAAAATGTTATTGTAAAACATAAAAATCCATGTTGATTTAGTTAGAGTAAAATTGATTTTGCCTTTGAAGAGCTGAAGCAATTTAAGTATTTCTACTGAAAACAAAGATTGCTTCTATTTTTCTAGTCATTCTCAGAACTGGAAATCAACAGAAGCATCAAATTAAAGTGGCATATCATCTCTTGATGTGGCACTAATACTGCCAGAGCTTCTTGTGTGGATTCTATTTTCATGGGTAACAGAATTTTAAAAGTAAAGAAACAAACGAAGAAACAATCTGCAATATGATTTTTCAGAGACCTTACATGTCTGCTAGCTATGTCACACTTTTGAGAGGCTAGGACTTTAAAGGACAGGATTTGCACTATTGGAACTTCTTAAGCAACACTTCTGTTCAGAAAGAGGCTTTAAGAGTATGTCCTACTAAATTGTAGTGGAATTGATTGAGCAAAATGGAAAGATTGATCCTGCACAAAAATTATTTTTAAATTCAGGCATTAATCTTTCAAAATCATGCTTACATGATTTTGAAAGCTGAAAATGCCCTGCAGGAAGGAAATCTCATGTAATTATGAAAAAAAAAATTAAAAAACATTAAAGTTTAGGAGTTCATTAGATTGCGTTGAAAGAATTTTAAAACTGGAATTGTAATGAAAGGAATATATATCGTATTCTTTGCATTTGACAATACTGATTAAATTTATATGTAGAAAAGATTATAGATGTCAGGCTGTAATCATGAGTTTGTATAGGCAAACATCACATTCTCACGATTTTCCTTTGGATTTTCCTGACCATTTAGTCATACAATGACATGAAACTTCAGTTTTACTATCCAGGGATAATCAATCCTTTGCATGACATCATCACTGCATATGTATGTCTTAACAATTTATTACAAGAAGGATATGAAATTGTGTAAACCTACGTATTGTTAGCAGGAATTTGTGAAGTATGTAAGGTTGCACACAAGAAAGCCTTGAAAAGTTATTCAAACCATCTCAAACTCACAGCAATAATACATTTATTTCTTACCTACATTGCCTTTATATGCCAGCAAGCATTTTCAGAAACACTTAGAACTTTAAAAACAGAGAAATCAAAGTACATTCTTTCTTAATCACCTCCCCATAAAGCCACAAGTCTGAACATTAAAGCAGCTGTGAACACTTAAGCCACAGCAAAAATAGAGTAAAATGCTAATAACCTCTGTAATGTTAATAAGCAAATAATGATTTTCAAGTATAATATCCTGAGGTTTTTCAGAAGTATCAGAAAAGACTGTAGAAGCATTCTCATCCAAAGACTTTTGCACTAAAGCAATCCAACTAGCTCAGCAGGGATGGAATATTACCAGGATTTAAAAGCCACAAGAAAGCTACAATTCATTTAACAATAAATCTTGTCTACACTGGTTTTGGACTACTATAATTTGAGAAGAAAGGGAAAAAGCACTTACTGTTTCAGTTGATTTTCTTTAAAAAAGCAAAAACTAAACTATCTGACTTACACTAAAGGTTAATTTTTGAAAGATGAAACAAGACCCCCGAAATAAAATGTTCATACATTATAATAATTTTCTAAAAGTCACAAATGTACATACAGTAAGATCTTTGGATTTGTGGTAAAATTTGCTTTTTGTTTTATATGATTGCAGTATATCACAAGAATATCAGCTACACAATCTCAAAAACATTCTAGTCTTCTTTAGAAGGAGAAGCAGAAGGGTAGATGACCATGAAGTTATGATCTTACCACATTTGAAGGTTCCAATTTCTTCCTCCTGGCAAGGTCAGTGATATTATTGCCATTGTAGTTGATGCTCTCCATGCAGCCTTTGAAATTTTTCCTACTGTTAGAACTTGGCTTGCCAGAAAAAGGCATGCCTCCAAAGGTTATCTTCAAATGAAACAGAAAAATGGCAGATAGTTAGTGGAATGCAAAAACTTTTAAAGAATTTTGTTGTACATGTATTTGCTTTCTTTGAACACTCAACCATGGCAAAATAGAGAGCTGGCAGCACTCTTTACAGAAAAAGGAGGAATCAAAATAAATATTGCAAAATCAGAAAAAAAAGAATTGTAATTAATTTTAATTATTTGTGGTAGCCAAACCCAAGTATTATTCCAACTGTCCAAACAGTGAACAGGCACACATCACAGTTGTTCATATGAGAACAGTTCCTTTAATTGCTATGGGAAAATAAGCATTTCAAACAAGGGAATTGGGACAAATTTCCATCACAGCATTTTTCTAAACAAATGTAGACATGAAATTAGCCAGATAATCTGATTCAAATCATTCACTCAGCTCTAACTGTGTGCCAGATCTCAGACTCCAGCACAGCAGTGGTGGGCTCCAATGTCGCCTGTAATCCTGCTGTAATACTTATATGTCTACTTCACCCAGAAAAATTTACAGAATCACACAGTTAAAGATGCAATCCCCTGGTAGACAGAAGGACCTTTCACTACCAAGAACATGCCTTTGTCCTGTAGTTATAGTCAATGGGGAGTTACCCCTTGATTTATCTGGTTAAATTATCTCCTTAGAGAGGATCAAGACAACTTCTGCAAGGAGTCAGTCATCAAATTCAAATAGGAATTGGTTTTTGTCTTACAGCTCAACTTCATTACCCTGGGTAATTGATTCTGGGTTATCCATAATCTATAGTGCTAAAAACTTAGAAATCCAAATATTTACAAACTAAAAGTGTTCATCTTTAATGAGTGACATCTCTGTTGCTCCTTAGAGATGATATAGGTCTCTGCCACATAATGGTCCTTATGGAAATGATTAGAAGTGAATAATGTTACATGTTTTCATTAGTATTTTGCAGCTCAAATGCCAAGAATAAGGGTCTCATGAGATTAGTCCCTGCAATCCGTGTTAGTTTATTATATCCATTAGATGATGGCATAAATAGCAATGACACCTTGGTTTCCTGCCTCACAAATATTCAGAAAAATATCAATTTGTAGTCTACTGCTAAGATTTTGCAGAATTAATCTTTTAAATATTATTCATTGTCCATTCCACTTGTTATTACCAACAGCAAGAGAACAGAGATCTAGGCTGACATTTTCAGTTTTAAATGCATGAGAGATATCAGTTTCTATACCGAAAAGGAGGCTTCCAGTTGGCATATACAAACAGCTAAAACTATACAGCTGAACTCTAAAACCTTTATAAACCACACACACCAGCTTTTGGTGTGTAAAAGTCTTGTGGGGACATCCTCGGGTATTGTAAATTTACATGAGTTTACTTTAGAGAAGATACAGCTCTTCAGATGGAGAATGGGACTGTAATATTTTAATGGTTGTCAAGCATTTTATGCATGTTATAATAATGGGATTGGATTAAATAAAATATAAGAATTAAATTAAAAAATAAAGAATTTTGAAGAAAAGAAGATAAAGCATAAAAAACGAAGAAAAACATATAATGTGAGAGTGAGTTAAGAGCAACTTATGAGACTATTTTTTGATCTCGAAAATGCAATCAGAACTTATGTTTGTTCCTTTTTTTGTATTTATACTTAATTTTCTGAAAGAGAGTAACCTAGAAACTATTTTGTCTATGAAAAATAGTTTTGATTGTTTTGGTTTTATTCCCTTTTAATCCCAAAGACAACACCTTTAAATTTTCAGTTTTAAATGCATATGAGATATCAGTTAGACTGTGGTGTCTAGCTCTAAAACCAGTGAGATAACAGTGAGGAAAGGAAGAAGAAGAGATTAAGTCTCTTGAGTTTATATGAACCACAGACACATCACACACACACACACACGCTCTCAAATAAGTTCAAATAAACACAGGGAGATCCATGTATATGGAAAATGAAATATATCTTTGAGAACTGCCAGTGAGGTCTCTTTATACAGAGAGGATGGGAAGGTGAATGCACTGAATTCAACTCTTACTGGGGAAACATTTTTAATATGCAATATGTTTGTTTGGTAAGCATAACATATATATATATATATGTGTATGTGTATGTGTGTGTGTGTGTGTCTGTGCATGTTCACAAATTACCCAACCCTGGCTTTTGGCATTCAGCCTTTTTCTCACTCACTTAAAAGCCTTTAATAAAATCTATTTCTATGAGTTTTAAGTAGCTCAGTTCAGATCTTCAGTGCTCAATATTTAATAGGGGTGCAGACAAATTTGCTTGTTATTGTCTTATTAGAGCTACCAGGTAATAATGTATTCATATACATTTTTTGGAATATAATAAAATATTTGACTCAGAAACATTTACATTTATAATTACTTTTTTCAAACATTTCATATATTCTTGGTCAAAAAATTGTAAAAATATAAATACACAAGTTAATTCAAACTTTTTTTCATTACATCATTTATATTCGCTCTTACATCTTAAAAAGTCCTAAGGGTGGAAATTATATATCTGGTGCAGCCAACCAAATTAATTCTTATTAGAAACAGCAAAGAGTGTAAAAAAATATTATACAAAATTGCAATAACCAGTGTGTTGAACTTCATGTACAGATTAGAGGAGCTAAATTCATAAGAGCTGAAGCTGTAGTGTAATCAAACAATAAATCCACATTTAATTACTGCCAGCACTTGTGTGCATTAACATGATTGATTAAACAAGTTTTCTTACAACTTTCCTAACTCTTCATTGCTTTTTTCAAAATAGAAGTTACTGGTGCCATATTTGTGAAAATACAAGGAAGTATCTACCTACCTAAGACAGGACAGATCAAGATCTGTATTAATAAAAAGGTTCTAACCTGCTTCCTTGGCTAAAAATAAATACTAACACCACAGATTAAAGCTTTCTGATTCAAGAGCAAAATTATCACCTGAGTGGAACAACAGATTGCACCATACTTTTAAAAATGTACTTCCTGTTTAGAGCAGCTGCTTTTAGAGCTTTTTAAAATCATGTATGCCTATCTTGCTGAATAACACACATCTCCCACTTTAAAACAAAGGGCTGAGATGATTGTTACACCAGATGGGACTTGGTAGGCTAATTAAGAGAAACACAGTTTACACTTAAGAGAGAACGCTGTTGGAAAGAAAGTTTCAGGAAATGTAAGGGAATAAGTAATCAAAACAAATGAATGACAAATTAAGAAAACATGTTAAATTTTGTTAGCTTTCTTATTGGACTTTATACAAGCAATTTGAATGAGAAGAAAGGAGTTTCACTGCCTACCTCATAGTCCAGGTCCAGATAATCAAATTCTCCATTTGTTCTGAAGTGCTGCATGTGTCTGTCGAGGGTGAGATTGATGTTCCTGCCGTGGCGCTCTATGATGATGGAGTGCCAGTGGTGATCATCCAAGAGGCTGCCTGTTGTCACAGATGTGTGGCCAAAAATAGAGCCAAGCTGGTTGCTGCCTGAGAACAGAAACAATAGCTTTTCTCACCTCATACTAGTTAGGCAAGCATTTTCCTCTTTCTTTGTCATTTTTTCACCTGAATCATACCAGACATGCAATTAACTGGAGGAAGTCAGTGTGCTATGAAGTTGGGATCTGCCCAGTGGAGAGCTGCTGCCACTAGTACAAATAGCTAGACATATAAAGCAAGCATCTGATCACTGAACTGTCTAAATATATGTATAAATTCGTAACAGCAGTTATTTGGAAATGAACCTGAGAAGCAATATCAATTTTCAGTCGTAAAGATGTTTTCATCAAGGGTTTCCTACTTTTGCTCCTAATCGACAGAAAAGAAAAGCTGTCACCTCTGGGCCAGATCCTGAGCTGCATTGGAACTGTACTGATTTATGAATGTTGGGGAGGACATGGAGCCTGATAAAAAACTTTGGCCAAAACAGCCAAAATCTCACTCTTGAGTTCTATGCTCTGTGGCCTTTACCAGTATCATTATACCAGCAAGCAGAGGGGAAAAGGCTCAGTGCAGACTGAGCTAACAACAGCAAAAACCATCTTCTGCTAATACAGCTTATTTTGGTATGTTATCCTGAAGCAATCTTCCTATTCTGGAAGTCAAACTGCTAGCAAGAGTACAGTTTTGCAATTCTCTGCTGTGTTATCCAGGGGGTTTTGCCGGTGTGGTTGTGCTACTCAGAGATCACATCTCATTGCCATCTGACTGACATAGCTAAGCCAGCAAAGGTTGATAGCATGGATCCCAACTGAAGCAGCAAATGACTAATTCAGCAGTAAGTGTGAAAAATTGCTGCTCTGCTCAATAACTCGGAGCAATCTTCCATGTTCTGAATACATGAGGACTTAAGGCATTTCTGAGGCTGAGAATTTCTTACCCTTAAGAAAGCCTGCAACTGACATTAAAGTTTGTGCATGCTGAAAACACATTCTGGCAAATTCCATTTCCATGGCTTAAGACATTACTTCCCTACAAATGACTATCCTGCCTTTATGCTGAAGGCCAATGGTCCTGTTGGTTAAAAAATAAAGTAGAATTGCATGTGTGACATTGAGCCTCAGTTTCTTCAATGCAAACTGAAATGCAGCACAAAGTGAAACCTAAATCCACTTCTGTCTCCCCATCCTTCCCCCAGACCCTGGTGTTTGAAGCTAAGTCACTGGATCTCACCATGCAAGAGGAGCATCCCTTTCTATCTTTTCTGATGCAAAGACAACACTCAGACAGAGGAATAATAACACCATAAAGCATTACATCTGTTTATTGAGTGCATGTCACAGGGCCTAGTCCCATTTATCAGCCTAATGATTTAAGAGCATGCTCACCAAACTCTTACATATAGAAGTTAAAATAGCTCATAAAGACAGTTTGTGCTGAAAATTATAGAGGAATGGGAAATGAAAGGGTTACTACTGCAATGAAAATTGTTAAAAATAGGTAACTGTTATAGTTACCTCATCATCTGTTCATGTTGATTATTAGAAAAAGAACAGTAGAAAATGCTAGTGGAAATAAGTACTATTCAATGTAAATAACAAACGGAACAATTTACTCTTCATGTGTGTATAAGAGAACTAAGGAAAATTGCATGAAACCTTTTTCTAAGGCTCTTTTGTTTGAATGGAAAAATACCTCAAACCGGATAAATGTGAATGGCTTTTATAATAAATGTACTTTATAAATCCAGTCACTTATGAGCCTGTAGTCCTCTACTGGGAGGACTGAAACTAGAGTGATATGTACAGAATTTCATCATAAAATGGCCTGATTAAATAATCTGTTTCTTTTCCTTTCCTAGTCCTCCTTCTCAGACTCTGGGAAGGCTGCTGAACTCCAGTTCCATGCAGGCTGTAGATTAGTAGACTGATACTATTTTTTTTTTCTGCAAGATTCCTAAGTGTGACCTACATTACTCCAGAAGTGACAACAGTGTCCTTCTCTCACACAAAGCCACAGCTGAGACCAACTATAATTCTGGCAAGCTTTTTTTTTTTTTTTTTTTTTTTTTTGCAGTAATGACAATATATTGCTGATCTTGCTTTAATGTATGATCTTCTTTTCAGAGTATCTCACACAGAGTAAAAGGGACAGGATGGAATACACATGTACACTCCCTCAACATACAGGAAGGGAATTAACAACATTTTCAACAAATTGTCTGATGAAATGATGCAGTTTACCAAATTACTGTGGGAAAAAGGATGAAATGTTTGACCAAAAATTTTTATGGGAGAGCTGAAATCTACCACAAAACCAAACAATCAAAACATACCTAAATTTAAATTTAGAACAAGTTTGGCTTTCTTCAGTTCCAAGGTGATATAATCTCCTTGCTGTCCTTCTCCGTGGAAGATTACACCTTCACTTTCAGATGTCTTAAATTTCAGAGAGATGACATCTTTCAGTGTTTTCATTTTCTTGTTCCTGAATCTGTATGGTAACACTACATGGCCATCAAAATTGATAACATCAGCCCCTAAAGGAAAAAGAAAATAAAATAATTTATGAGCGACTATATATTCCTATGGCCACTGGAAAAACAGACATAACATATGCAGATTGTACCTTAACAGAATAAAAAATGTGCAGATGTGAACACATTGTATATACATTTTCTTTTGTCCAAAATTTAATGCCATAAAAAGTAAGAAGCAGGCGGAAAAAAAATTTAATCCACATAAAGTAAAAATAGAAAAAAAATCAGATTTGGGAGGAAAAATGCTACAACTGTACTCAAAGACTTTCAATTTCTCTGAAATACAGTTGCTGCCATGTACATTTACCTAATTATAGCTCAAAATAAAAGGTAAACATCTGAGTGGTCATTAATAAATCATTTGATGAGACTTTAACATTCACTATAAGTATCTGCAAGGACTGTAAACAATAAAATATGAGTCCAGGGTAATTGCCTGACAATTTTAGATTTTATATAAAACAGACACAATCCTTGTATATTTAGTGAAATGGCAAGTAAGTTGTAACCTCAACCAATTTTGAGCAGAAAAAAACCCCCTCTGTCATTTGACCTATTTTTTTTTCATGTTTGATTTTGTTCAAAATATGTGAAAAGTGAGGGATGCAAACCTTTAAGGTCAATTCCATAGTCATATATGTGTTGCATAATAACACTAAAAAAATTTGTTTTGTCTTATTTTCATGACACAATCTCTATTCTAAAGAATGAACACCAATTTTCCACAATTTTCTGGATGCTAGAGCCACAGTAAAAATAGCTGCAGAACTGGATTCCATTCAACAAATGCGTTTATTGAATATTGAATCTTGTCACTTAAGCTGAGTTCCATAAAAGGTTTCAAACAGATATTTATGTATAAAAATTTACACATATTTAAGAAATCCCCTTTGTAAGTTGCTAATAATCAAATCACCAGTGTCTTAGCAACTATTTGTATGAACATTTCAACCTCACTGTTTACAACTAACAATTTGAATAGTTGTTAAGTAAAATTCTTCCTGTTTTTCAAAAGCATTTATGCTCCTGATTGACACCATATTCATTCATGCTCTGAATGAAAAGAAGGATGGCATTTTATCATATATTCTTCAACCACATCTGATTTTTGCCTTCTTTTGTGGTCTGCTCTTCAGTGATTTCTTGCAACTTTTTGAACTTCCTAACTTGTTTTTGTTATTATTGTGGGAATTAATTTAAAACTTCCATCCCTTCTCAAAAACAGAGACAAACACATTCCTATTGTGCAATTAACACAGAAGTCTGTTTAAAAACTCTATTAAAACACTATGTATACTATGCCTAACTGCATATTTTTCAATTTGAATTCACATGGCCAAGTCTTCCTAAACCTGCAAAGACTTCCAAAGAAGTAATGAACTGTGATCCCCCTATTATTTATGCCAACTAAATTGTGAAGAATTTTATTAGGTACATAAAATATGAGCTTTAGAAATGATTGTGATATCCCATATTATCACCATACATCTCATTTTTGTCAGAATTCAACAATATATCTTAGAAATATCACTTTTCTTTATAAAAAAAAATCTCTTAAATTGCAAATTTCAATAATAAATATGCATTAATCCTTAAGTACAGCTAGAATTCTCAACCTGATCTGTATCTTCTGAATGACAAATTCCAGCCATGGGAGTCAGCTCTAAGTTAAATATCAAAATGGTATGTTTTATTTGTTGTGAAATAAATCCATTTAGAAGTTATCAGCATGAAAGGGGGCACTTTTACTTGGGCATAGATACAGAAGTATTCAGAAGCAATGGAATTTCAGAAGCGGGGTTATCATAACTCAAGTAAATCCATTCCTTCTGAAATGATTACTTTTTTTAAGAAATAAAGTAAATTGTTAGAAAAATAATGCAAGAAAGACTTTATGAGCCAGTTGGTTATATTTGCCTTGCAAGCTGTCAAGAAATCTGAGAAATCAATTCTTGAGATTTTTGTATGTAAAACCAGCTTTTAGAAAAACATGAAATATATTTATAGAAAAAAAATGCAGTATGAAAGTCATCCTTTTATCACAAAAATCTTACCTTTATGTAAAGGAAATTTGCTATAGAGATTCTGCTCTTTTGAATCTACATACAAATGCCTGGCACAAGTGTTATAAATGAAAGAAAATTGATGGACATTACACCTTAAGTAAACTTCATACCAAATATACATCATAAAAAGATTATTCCACATGCAATGTCTGAGATTGTCTTCCATAAAATTTCTTAAACTTACTTTCTGATGGTTACGGAAACTCCTGTATGGAGTATATCAGTTTTCCCCTAAGGCCAGCTGGTACCACTTTGTAATATCTGAAAAAGTTGGCTTAACAGTCAGGGATCTGACCCACAGCTGATCAGGACCATGCAGTTTTGTGGACTCACAAGACTTCCATAACAAGGCAAGTATCCCTTCTGTTCCTACATCATTGTTACTGTTGCATAGGTGTACTCAATCTTTGAAGAAAATTTATATTATACACTTTAACGAAGCTGAGTAAAAAGGCCACATTTTTACAGAATCCATCCCTGACTTTCCATGTTTTGAAAATAATTTAATCAAAAAAAGAAACTGCAGTTATCTTTGATTAAGCAGATTTTTTTTATGCATGGCTATACTCTCAGCATGGTCTGAATGATAATTCAATCACCTGAAGATTACACAGCAATTATGTTTAAGAGTAATCATATGTACACTGTAGTAATGACTTGTGTTCTTTCTATGATGACACTCAGATATTTAATATTATGATAATTATTATAGTGCAGAATGCTGCTCAGACAGTAAACCATATAATTCTTCTAATTTCCATGTAAATATATAATTTTTCTCCTCCTTAGACACTCATCTATCAGCATTAGGAGGAAAAAGACCAAAGCCATCACATGAAGTATATTTATGTGCAGTCAGTGATTGTTGTCAGAGGCTACTACTGTAATGGGGAAAACCTTCATAATAAAAGATAAAGTTAAAAAAGAGAGAAACTGAGAGAAGAAAGAAGAAGAAAATGAACAAAAAAAGGGGAAAGAAAACATGAAAGTTTTTTTCTTAAATTACATGGAAATGGGAAGTGCAAATCTGATTACTTGCAATTTGATTTCTGCCCTACTGGATTTCCTATTATATAGATAGATTGGAAAACAGTGCTAAAACAGTAAAACTATAATACCACTTTCCTTTGGCTAGGTAGATGTGTTAGGCCTTATCACTGTAAATGCTTGAGACCACATTAAAATCCTTTCATTAGTTAATGCATCATCAATTTTCCTCCAAAAAATGTTACAGAAAGCCTTGCAAAGATTGACAGGATATTGGGTGACAAATGTGACCCTATTCACAAATCTCAAAGGAAGCTAAATCCCCAGCCACAAGTCTTCCTACCTATGCTTCTTTCCTGTACTTTTGGCTACATGCAGGATTTGGCAAAATTTGAACAGGGCATCAAATTTATTTGATACAAAACAACTTATAAACTAATTACAAGAAAACAGCCCCAAATCAGACTCAAGCTCCAGAACTTCTCTATTTCCTCCATTTATAGTGAAAGAAATATAACTATCTTCAATGCCAGCACTTTAAGAATGAAGAAGTGCTCATTCACAAAGACTCATGAGATACTAAGACTTCTTCACAGCTACTTAGCTGCTTTGATCAAGGTACTGCCTGGAGTTACTAAAAAATCCCTGCTTTCTGACACAGCAAAATAACAGCAATCAAAACAAATCGGAATAGCAAAGTGCTTTCCAGAACAATGTTTGCCACACCGTGAACAAAAACCATGGCAATATGTTTCTCCTCCTAAATTACAAATTTAACATGTGCACATATTTTTAAATTGCTACTGATCTCTGAATGATTGACTCTTCAAAGCCTGTACAGAATTTTTCAGTGGGATTAAAGATATAAAAGATCTGTACAACTGACAGACAGCGACCTTCAGTGAAATTTTCCCACTCTGTTATCTCTCATCCATTTTTTCATCTGCTTAAATTATCTGTTTGGACTAAATGAGCTTTAGGGAAAAAATCCTTACTTTTAGCATTCTTTTCTTACCCCATAGTTTGAACTTTACATCTGATGTCCTAGTAGTATAGGTGGTAATAGATGGCAATAACCATACACTGAGCACCTACGATCTAAAAATATCAGAGATACATCAAAGCATCTTTGCCTGGCTCAAACTATTCCACATCTGTAGCTTCACTTATAGCTATTAGTCACAGGTTCTAAAATATCATTATGGGAAATACAAGCACATAAACAGGTATTGTTTACATATTTCAACAGCAAAAAAAAAATGTTTTCTTCTAATGAAGCAAGGGATAAGGTTCAAAATCATAACAAGAATAAAATCTCATTTTGTTATTATTCACAAAAAAATTACAAATCCAGAAATTTATTCAAAAAATTACTAATCTACTTTTTCAGTAGTGCCATATGCTGTCAACATGATAGCACAACTGAATTTGCCACTGGGGTCTTTGCAGCTTGAGCCTCAGTGGAATTAAGTTATCTAAGCTCATGTTAGAAATGCACTGCTATGCCTCATTTCACAAAAAAAACCCAAAAAAACCTCAAAAACAAAAAACAAAAACAAAACAAAACAAAAAAAAAACAAAAACTAAAAAGCCAAAAAAAACCCCAAAAAAACCCCCAAAAAACCCCCAAAAAAAACATCCAAAAAAACCCCCATGGCCCAGCACAGCAGTCAAAAGGCCCAGCACAGCAGTCAAAAGATTACGTCCTCTTTTAGGTTTTCTTACAGTGAGGCAGAGAGCCAAAGGTACCGTGTTTGAGCACTGCCTTCAGGCGCTACAGCCCAGCTGTAAGGACATGGGCAGCTCTGGCCTGAAGTCTGCTGCAGCCAAACTGGCATTGCCTTTACTCCTTTTTTCAAAAGTCAAAGCACCTGCCACAAAGGAGCAAAAAACTAATACAGACACAGATGTATGTTGCATTTACAATAATGTGTACTTATTCATATT